GTGCATGAAATCCATCTTAATTAAAAGCTTATCCTTTTTTGAAAACATATTTCATTTCTTCTTCATGTACATATAGGCAAGGCTGGGTCCAGCAGACACATAAAAGGTAATATTTAGTTAAGATCAAAACTTGCTTTTAAATAAAAATATATACCGTAGCCCTAATGTATCCACTAACTGGATTCTAGATCACTCAAGGTATACAAATGTTTCATTAAAACAGAGAAGCTGCCAACACAAGTTCCCGCTCAATTCAATTTAGTACTGTACAAAAATAATTTTATCCAAACTAACAATCCATCAAATTTTATCAATCCTCCAGAGTTATTAGCAGCACAGCAATTTGTAAGATGATATTTCTGAAGCAGTGAGCAGCTGCTGAAGTTCAAACCACATAAACTGTATATCAAGAATTCTGCAACTCTTTAATAAAAACTTCACATGTGTCTTGTATAATAACATTATTTTCACTATGCCACCACCAAGCATTTTGAATACAATGTCTTTGGCATGGAAAATCCTTTCCTTACACCAGGGCTGGAAACCTTTCGCCCTTCAGATGTTTTGAATTATTATCCCCAGAAGCCTCACCCAGCATCGGCCACCATAAATGATTGTGAGGAGACAGTCCAAAACATTTGGAGCACTAAAGTTTCTTCACTTGTCTTATACAATGCAAGTTATCACTATACAGTAATTGCTGTATCACAGATCTTTACATTCACTCCTTTCCAGCCCATGAATGAAATTGGCAGAAGATTCAGTTTTTCAAAACATGTATTTATATAAAATCATTATGCCAACTGAAAGAATAACAGCATAATATTTGTCATGCCACCTCTCCACTCTGGACATTAAGAGAGCAATAGTTGTTGTACCAGCTGATGTCCTGTGCTTTATTTAATTTTGATCTCTACAGCAAGCAAGCAGGAAAACCTCTGGTTTGTTTTGACTCTTGCTGGCACAATACAGTACTCCAATTAAATTTGGTTAACAAAAAAAAAGCTGTGGTACTATAAAATGCTAACATGTAAGTAGATAATAGCAACTTCTGAAACCTGAAACTCATTTAAACATATATTTATAAATACATCCCACAAAAACCTTCAGGCAACTTTGACTTCAGTTATTTAGAAAGAACACTGAACAATTTGATCTACAGAAATACCTGACTTCTGATTAACATGCAACAAACTAAAGAAAACTTTTTCATATATCTGAAAACAGAAAGCATACTGAAACAATTTTGGCTTTTTGATGTTGCTTTTATAGCTTTTGGAGCAGAAGGATCAGCCAGCAAGGTGGTGTAGTTGATCAGATGCATTACAGGATTGCTTCTGACACAAAAAAGTACAGTACTACTACTTTTGATAATGGTTAAAAAGAACCAAGAAAAACTTGTTACCACAAGTGCAAATTGTCATAAAATGGAGATGTAAAGGACTCAACCTGAACATTTGAAATAAATTTTTTTTTAAAAGATACAGACTTACTGTGATACTACAACACATAATCATTATCAATTGGACTGGCGTGGGCAATCTACAACTTTCTACTTTTATGCCACTGGGATGCTCAAAGAGAAAAAGGCATCAAAATGAAAATATAGCAATGAGGTAGGGGAGCCCTCAAAGCCGTAACAAAGATGCAGTGGCCAGGACTTTGTCCCAGAATATCAATAAATAGACTAAGGTAGCTCTCCCCACTTTCATCATTATCTCCAGTGAAGTTGCCCATTGAATATGTGCCACTAAAAGGACGTGATCACCCACCACACCACACCCCAAAAGGCATACCAGCTGCATCATTCCTCCTCGACCAGAAGAAACACAAAGCAAGCAGGCTCAGCACAGAATCAATATAACCATTGTGCATGCAGTCCCCCTCCTCTGTTCTGTCACTTGTATGCCTGATCCAAGATAACCAAAGGGAAAGCAAAGCCCTGGGGGGGGGGGACAAAATTACTACTTACAATTCAACAAGCCTACTGTAAGAGAGCAGCTGACAGCTGCCAAGTCAAAGGTGCCCTGTCCCCAACAGTACAATGGCCAGGGTATGGGGCGGTGGGGGAAGATGACTGTTCCCACCCATCACCAGCATGCTATCACTACCCCTCCCCCAACAGATTACTTCAGCCAGAAAAGTTTCCTGATCCATCTTAAGCTAGCTATCTGCTATAGGTACTATAAACAAAGGTTCTTCTTTCCTGGACTTATCTATGTCACCTTCTAGTCTCACAATTTTATTTCAGAGAAACCTGGACTCTTATCACAACTTATGGTAAGTACTATCTAAACACAGATAATTTAATTACCGGTACTTTCTGTAGCTGATGAGGGGACAGTGGCAAACACATTTGTATACAGTATTCTTTTTACAATGCACTTAGAAGGAGCCATTACTTTACGCAGTTATATGACTGCTAAAAACTTCTCAGGATCCTTTCCCCTTGCCCCCAAACATTCAGTGCAGTGATAGTGAGAAAATAAAAGTGGTAAGTAGTGCAATCTAAGGACAAGTACTCATATGAATCTTACAGATATTTAATTAACATGATTTAATCCCCCCAAAGAAACACGCATGTAGATGTACTTCTACCAAGTCAACATGTTGTTCTTCAAAAGTAAGTTGCATCTAAAGTAGACCCACTTAAATCAATAAAACGTAGAGGAGTTGAGTTACCAAATCCACGCTGATTCAATGAACCTAACTAGTGCAACATTTTATGCTAAGCAGAAATCAATAAAATGTAGAGGAGTTGAGTTACCAAATCCACACTGATTCAATGAAACTAACTAGTGCAACATTTTATGCTAAGCAGCACAATTTCAGCCATTAATTGGTCAGTGAAAGGAATCATTTAACCCTTCCACAATCACTAGTTCAACCAAGTGCTCTTTTATACCTATCTTGGTATAATAGATTTCGGGCCATGTAATTTGCTTAGGTAAGATATAGCCCTATGTATTTGTATCTCTCAGGAGTTTCACTCCATGTGCATATACTTCACTTAAGCTACCCATGGACTCCTGCAGAATAAAATGTCACATAGTTAACTACTTACAAGATGAGTCTTCTAAATTCTAATGTCAACTCTGTCATCTTTATTGTACTAAAGTTTCACACAAAAGTATTAACATGCCAAAAACTTGTAAAGAATGTTCCACATGCTTTCTAGTTTAACATTCAATTCATTCCTAAAAATGGCAAGGAAGGTAGATTATCAAGAAAACAGAAGCTTTCTCCATTTTCAAAGGTCAGAAAATTCTGACTCCTCCAGAGGTTTGGGATTACAATTCCCACCAGCCCCAGGCAGTACTGTTGAAGTCTGGGGATAGTAGAAACCACAGTTCAAAGTATTGTGGAGTATGTGTGTCTGAACTGAAGCTTGATCAGAAAGCTGTTCACATTTTAACCCTAAAATAGAAGTTTACATCTACTGGTTTATGTGTGCTAATCTTACATCCTGTCTCTCCAATTTAACACTGGCAGCTCACTTGTTTGCTCTAAACTGCTATGTGGTTTAGGCATTTTTAAAAAAACTGTTCTACAGTTGAAATATACGTAGGGATACTAGGAGTTACACAAAGATTTAGTGCTACCATAGTATAAACAGTATATAGATAGGTGAAAGTGACGTCTTACTCTTGTAATCATTATACTGAATCCGCATTAAAAGTTCAATAAAAACAAAACAAACAAAACTCCACCATTCAAACTTCTGCAATGAGAACACAAAGTATTCTTGCTTCTCTTTACTTCTTGCAACCAGGTGAAAGTTGTTTTTCTCACATTACCTAAACAGTAATAATGATTTATAATTCTGGTTTAAGCTTCTAATAGGAATGAAAAGGCTTCTTCAGAATAATTTAGAACCTGGACAAGTTGTTGTTGTTTGTTCTTTAAAAAACACACAAGCCTTCCGCCAGCACCAAATACATTACAAGAATTCTGTGAGTTGTAGTCTTAAAAAAGAGATGCTTCCAACCTCGGGTATCCTGCCACCCACAGCTTCTCTGAACATCACCTACACTAAATCCCAGAAAATGTTAAGATTGCTAGTATGCTTTTCGCTCAGTTCCTGGGATAACCAAACATCTGGCTTCTTCAGCAGCAGCAACAGAAGCTATCTAACTGCATGGCTCATGTGTGATGTTCTAAGGCAGGAGCCCCTACAGCTGAAGAATAAAAATTAAGATCAACAAACAAGCTGTCCCTCTGGGCAGAGTTTACGTCACTTTCCATGGAGATAAGCGGGCTGGTGGCCAATAATGTATGTTGACAGAGAGACCCCCCCCTCCTTCTCCCCCTTCATTTTAAAGCGCTCACTGTCGGGCCCCTCCTTTTCGACAAAGGAGCCTAACAGGCAACAGCCTTCTTTTGCTGAGAGGGTCCCTGGGAGGTCCTGGAAAGCTTCAACCCAGGGGCACCCTTGCTTCAAAAGCATCCCGGGCAAAAAAAAGGAGGCTGACTTCGGCCCTCCAAACTTTCCCCCTCCTCGAGCCTAGCCTCTCGGGGCTGCGTGACAGAGCCTGAGCTGCCTCAAAAGCTTGAAATCTTACGAGGGAGATGGAAGAGAAGGGAGGTGGGGGGTGGGAGAGAGGCCGAGGCCGCCGCCGCCGCCTTGCTCAAGAGCAGACTTTGGGCTACACTGAGACCCCCGCCCCTCAACTTGACCTTGAGGCTGCCCGCGGCCTTGAGGGCTCTGCAGCAAGTTTCGGAGCCCGGCCCGGCCTCTCCAGAGCTGCCCGGCTCCTTCTCTCTCTCTCTCTCTCTCTCTCGGCCTCTCCAGAGCCGCCCGGCTCCTCTCTCTCTCTCTCTCTCTCTCTCTCTCGCTGTGCAACCCGAACTCCTCACTCTTGGGCCAGGAGCAACAGCAAAGGGAGAGGCGGGTGACTTTGCTGGCGCGCAGAGACACAAGACAGGCCGAAAGGGGAGAGCGCGCGCGGTGGCGGCGGCGGGGAGAGAGTCGGGAGGAAGAAGCAGGCTGCCGTACTCACCTTCGCTGGGGAAGGACTCCATTTTAATGCTGTGAGGCGCCCAGAGGCCCACACGAGGCGGAAAGAAAACACAAGCGCAGGCGAAGAACCGAAACAAATAGCTGAAACGGGGGCGGGAGAGAGAAAAAGCAGAACCCGCCGCCGACGCTGCGGCTCCTCCTTCACTCCTTTCTCTCCTCCTCCCCCTTCCAGGGGGGTTGCTGTTGCATGTTGGCGAAGCGAGTCCGCCTGCCAGCCGTGCGGCCAAAGGGAGGCTTCCTCCGATGTCAGTCACCTCAGCCAGCCCAAAAAAACCAACCGTCCCAGGGGCGGGCGGCGAAGGGCGGCCCGCCGAGTCTGGCTCGCTCCCTTTTCTCTCCCCCCCCCTCAGTTTCCCGGCTCAGGGCCCAACGGCTTGCCTCTCGTTTCGTCGGCGTCTCATCCAGACCCGGCCGTCGACTATTTTCGGCCGGGAAGCTTCTCCACACTCTCTAGCCCGGTGAGGGCCGGGCTGCTCGTGAGACCGAGCAGCTGGTGCTGAGTTGAGGCGACCCCGCTACCTCCGCTCGAGTCTCGGGCTCTGGGAGAAGAGGCTCCGAGCCAATCCCCGTGGCCCCGATCCCGTGGCGTCTGTGCCGCCTTCCGGGCGCTGCGCGTACCCCGATTTTACACTCGGCGCACCAGATATACTGCGATTTTTTCTGTGAAATTCATCAGGAGTGTATGAGTCTCGTGCCAATACGCAATCCCTGGCGAACCCTTCAGCCATGGGAGGTTTAAAGCCAGACCGGGCTGCGATCCTAAGTGCACTGATAACGTCTCATGAAAATCCCTGGGTCTGAATGCCGAGTGAACATGCTTTGGATGTTTAACAAAGTCAAAATAAAAAAACGAAAATAGTGAAGTTGGAAGTGATTTGGTCACAGGTTTCTATGGAGGGCGCGGGACCCCATTTGATGTGGGTGTATCCAAGGGCACACTCAAATACATCAGCTGGTCTTAAAATGCCCCAGTATTTTTGTTTCTATGCTGTTATTTGTTATACCTGCTCATACAGACTAACGTGGCTTTTCATAAAAAGAAATGCTCCGGATGGCGCTGGTAAATCATGAATGTGCGTTAAATGCATGTATTTACAGCCCAGGTTGTGAGAGCCATTCTGTTTATGGACTTGCGTGTGCACCCATGGTTTCTGATTTCTGCTGATCTACACCCACCCCAACTATAAAGGAAACAAATCAAGCAAACACTAAATTTTAGTAAAGCAGAAACGAAGTCTAAGACTAAATAGTTTTTATTTTTCATAAGCTTTCATGTGTACGTACAAACACACTTCAGATAAGTTTTTAGTGTGTCAGATGATGATGCAGGAGGGCAGTGGAAAGGAAGAGGAAACAGGGCAGCTAGGAAACAAATCAACATGAAGAGGAGGAAGAAGGGAGATTGGTTCTGAGGTGTGAAGGAATGTAGAAAACAGTAGAAAGAGGTATGTAAGCCTGTAGAATGAAGTGATGTAGAAGAAATCCGAAAGACGCCTGTGTTAATTTTCAACATGGAGCGTTTGTTGTGGGGAAAATGATTCCAAAAAAGATGAATAAATTAATTACTAGGGCCCTAGGCACACGAGGGAAATGTTCTCTAGTTATCTCTTAGATAAGGCGGAGAACGATAGGAAAATCTTATAAATAAATGCATCATTATCCATAGTGGTTAACTTTTTCAGCTTCAAAAAGTTGACTAGTGGTAGCTTAAAGTTTCAGCAGTTTATTTACAAGATTTATTTATTTACAAGATTTTTAGCCACAGCATCACCAATGGTCTCTGAGGAACAAAGGAAGGAACAAAGCAAATGGTCTTTGAAAAAGTTTTGAATCAATCTTTTACACAAAAGGGGAAAAACACACCACAATATATAATAACAGTAATGGACTATCTTTGCCTAAAGTAGTTTGTAATACACTTTTATCAGCTTCAGAGATTCTGTTCCCATGTCCAGCACTGAAATATAGCTGCCACATACTGCTGGGTAGCTCAGTGGTTTAGGTTGGGAATTTGATTCTCCACAGTGCCTCCTTGACAGGAACTTAATTCAATAATCCATAGAGTCCCTTCCAGCTCTGCAGTTCTGAGATTATTATTATTATTCCAAAGGATGGGCCTTCTCAGTGGTAGTGCCACAAAAAGTGTCCTCCTAATAAGTTCACGTTAGAGTTGCTTGGACTATCTGAAGGAAATGCTGTATTTCTCCAAATCTCCAAGTGGGGAGATGCATGTCAGAGTAGTGGAGTAGTCTCCTCCAGTAGTGGAGGAGAAAGTTTGGGGGGTTTATGTATGTATTGGTTTTAAAGCCTCTGCACCCATCTCTCCAAGTTTCCAGTTGGTGCCAGAGCTCGCTGGCTCAGTGAAAAGGTGATAGTATATGTCTTCTCATCATGCAATGTCAGTGCTCCAAAAAGCTAGGAATGAGAAGATGGGAGAGAGGGAGAGAGAGATGGTGGATAGATAGAGTTGTGCCCAATATTTTACTTAAAGCAAAGCTTGGAGTCCACCATCACTGCTGTAACTAGTGAGCCGCCTTGTTGCACAAGCTCTGGCAATAATGACACAGGGCATAGAAGAAATTCCCCTTGCTGGCAGTGAGCTTTCCGCAAGCCCCAGCAGCAATGTAGTGGCTAAACAGACTCCCTGTGGGGGAGATACCTAAGGCCATGTGAGATTCAAGCTTGAGCAGTACTTGCAGCAATTATTGCAGCTTCTGGGTGTATTTTTCCACCTATCCAAATAGCAAAATAGAGAGGTTACTTACCTGTAACCATAGTTCTTTGAGTGGTCCTCTGTGAATCCACACAAATGGGTTTAGACTGTGCCTGCGCAGGACTTCTCAGAATATTCTAGAGCTTAAAAACGTGATTAGTAGGATGTTGCCCCGTGGCGCGCATGCGCCACCTGCCCATAATACCTCAGTTCCAAAATGTCCGCTGCTGTCAAGGCTCTGACCATAGCAAAACTCAAGACATCAAGTGACGGACAATGGGGAGGATGGGTGGGATGTGTGGATTCAAAGAGGACCACTCGAAGAACTATGGTTACAGGTAAGTAACCTCTCTTTCTTCTTCGTGGCCTCTGTGAATGCACACAAATGGGTGACTAGCAAGCTCACTTACGGGAAGGAAGGCCATCACGGCAACAATGAAGTCACCACATCCCTGCCGAAACTTGCTTCCTTCTTAGCCCTGACGTCTAGACGGCAAGGTGTCACAAAAGTCGAGGGTGTAGACCAAGTAGCCGCTCGACAATTATCAGGGACCTCAACGCCATGCAACCAGGTCGTAGAAGTAGCCATAGGTCTTGTAGAGTGTGCCTTTAGCACATCCGGTGGAGTCTTGCCTGCCAATTCATAAGCCAACATAATGGCAGAGACAATCCATCTCAAGACCGTCTGTGAGGAGGCAGGAGAACCCTTACACGGGCCATGGAAGCATACGAAGAATTGAGGAGAAGTGCGGAAGTCCTTAGTCCTGGAAATATAAAACACTAAAGCAAAACAAACATTGAGGGGATGGAGCATGCGCTCAACATCAGAAGGAGACGGAAATAACGTCAGAAGAATTAGAGGTTGATTAACATGGAAATCAGAAATCACTTTAGGAAGAAAGGACACATCTGGATATAAAACAAAGTTGTCAAGATAAAATTGAATATAAGGGGCATCAGCTCAAAGAGCGGCCAGTTTGCTTGCTCAACGTACAGAAGTTATCGCCACAAGGAACAAAATCTTGATGGAAATAAATTTGAGGTATGCAGAAGCCATGGACTCAAACGGAGGATGAGTGAGTGCACGGAGAACAATCTGGAGAGACCACTGAGGGAGCGGAGGTTGGATAGGTGGGCTCACATTCCACCAACCTCTCAGAAACCTCTTCAGGCTATGATGAGAAAATAAACGAGAAGCCTCAGACCCCACCGGCTGATATGAGACTATAGCCGAAACATAAACTTTCAATGTTGAGTGGGCCAAACCTTGCTCAAAGAGATAACAAAGGAACTTGAGAAGCGCGTCCAGTGAAACTGGGACTGCGAGTAAACACCATGAAGCAACAAATTTAAGGAAAGCATTCCATTTATAAGAGTATAACAGCTTAGTAGAAGTGTTTGGCCTTGGTGCTTTCAACAAGGTCTTCAAGGAGGGAGTTGTTGGAGTTGATGGAACAGAGGGCTCAGACCTAGGAATGGAAGTACCAGTAGGCTCCATCGCAGGGCTAGTGGGTGGGTTGACACAGGAAGCACTAATTGCTGACTCTAATTATTCAAGCTGGCAGGGCAGAAAGTGTATGCTTTTACATTGCCTTTGCCTCAAATGATAAGGAATGTACTATGCCAGCTCTTGGGATGGCATAATAGTTGATTAGGAGCATATTGGGAAACAAAGGACCCTGTAGAACGTCAGCTGTCTCCACCAGTACTGTAGTCATGGTGAGTGGACCTAAGAGGTCATAGGATACTGGACCTCCAATATTCCCACCAAAGAAAGAATACTGGACATCCAGTATCCTATAGCCTCTTAGAAAGCCTTCCAAAGCCTGTTGGTTTGCACCATAAGGTGTTTTCAATGGTATTTGGTTTTGAAACTGTTTTGCTTGCATCTTTCATTGCACTATTATTTTGATCTCTTCTGTTTTTATCATTTTTATATGCTGCTTTTAATGTATTCTTATGCAGACAAGCAATTTATAATTGTTAAAGTCCTCACTTTCACCTGTCTTGGGAGGCTACCCTGTTTCCCTGAAAATAAGCCCTAGTATGATTTTTCAGGATGCTCACAATACAGTATAAGCCCTACCTACCCCCCAAAATAAGCCCTAGTTAAGTGGAATCCTACCCTCCACCACTGTGCAGAAACCAGAAGATGACATGACTGTATTTGAATAAATGTAGATGGTTGTACATGGAAAAAAACACCTGAAAATAAGCCTACTGCTTTTTTTGGAGCAAAAATTAATATAAGACCCTGTCTTATTTTGGGGAAACACGGTATCAGTCTTGCCTTGGGGCTTGAGAGAGTGACCATGTAAGAATAGTGTAGTTGAAATAGCATCTCATATTCTTCTCTGCTGTAATTTTTACACAAATATAAGAGCTCATTTTATTTCTACTTAGTTTTGCCTGTGGTCAGGAAGTTCTGATGAGTTCTGTATCTCTGTATTAATGATTGAATGCTGACTGAATGACTGCTGGAATTGCAGCCAAGTTTTTTCCTGCAGCTATTGGAAGAAGGCCAGATACTAAATGTAGTTTTGAGCCTGTTCTGTCATATTTTGTTATCTTACACAAATTCTGTTCAGTATACTGTACCTGTGTTGTATTAATGGAACCAGTAAACTTCTGTTTCATTTTGAATTTTATGTCTTAAAGCGATTAAAAATAAATAACAAAAATCTGGTGTATCCCAAATAGTAACATTTAGGGAAAAAAGCATATATGCAATAGTATAGGAAATATAATTACTGTAATAATAAGTGACATTTAAGTGGCTGCTAATGTCTTGGCCAAGTTATTAAAAAGCCTGGAAAGTCTTTTAAATGACTTTTCATCCTTTATGTTAAAACATTTATTTTTCAAGAGAGCTATTTAAGTGCACCACTTTTATTTGAAAAGCAAACCAGTAAATGACAAGTATTTAACATATGTGAGATTTAGAACTAGTTCTAGTATGACATCAGCTGGCAGAGTTTTCAACACTGAATGGTTTTGATACTCTTCAGTTATCTGTCACTGATACGGATACGTTTT